GTTTGGACATTATATACATATCTTCCCTGGGAAAAGTGATAGATAGAGAGACCTTTGAATGTTTATATTAAAGTTTGGGTTCTAAGTTATATTGTTTGTATTCTTTAAAAATGTTGATAAATATATATTAAATACTTTAAAAATAATGCATCTTGGAAAATTTAAATGTGAGTAAATTTTGAAGAGTCTGAACAATGTAGATAGTAAGAACAAAGTTAACTTCAATTAATATTAAATTTTGATTTAAATTAATATTAAATTTTTATTTAAATTTTTATGATTATCTGACTAAGCATATCTCGTGTTCTCAATAAAGTGGGTAAACTACAAGTACGTGTTTTCAATCAATTGAAGGTATATATATTTAGACATATATATATCATAAAGATTAAAATTAGAATTTACCAATAAATAAAATGCCAAAAGTATTATAAACCTATTTATTTTTGGTCTTTAATTCCTAATAGTATTATTATTACTATGTCATCAATTTCAAATTTAATTAATTGGTACTAGCTTGATTGTGACATTGATTCTATCATTCCATGTGTGCTTGACATAAGTATGAGGAGGACAATATATAAGATATACGTTGAATATAAGTTTCTTTTATTTTATTAGAAGTAGTTTTTTTAGTAAATATTTATTTAAAAAATAAAAATCATAAAAGATGATTACTACTACTATTGTGCACGATGGTATGAAATCTAAGACATGCAGGCCAGCCTCTATTAAGAAATAATATATAAGGAAATTAGCTATAAAGTTAGTCAATATAAAATTTAAATAAAATATTAAAGTAATCTAATATTATATCAATAAAAAAGTTTTAAAATTTATATTGGTGGTACATGGCTAGTGATGATAGTTGTCCATAGTAACCAGTAGTGGTGATGACTAATAGTAGTAATTTGCGGATGGTTGTAAATTATAGTCATAGTTAATTATGATGGTTGACTATATATATTTTTAATGGTAATTAATGATGGTAATTCTCAATAGCAATTAGTGTTATAATGATGATCGATGATGATAATTGTAATTGATGATTAATAATAATGACGATTAATTGTGGTGATTTGCAGTATAGTTATAAACTTATAACTGATGTAAGTCACGTATGGTAATATATATAAACTAATAATTGACAATGGTCAATGGCAATATTAACGGTAGTCAATGAAAGTAGATAAATAGCGGTAAACTTGCATCTTTATAGAAAATATTAAATAAATATTTTAATGATAGTTAAATAATATTTAATTGTTGTGAGCAAAAAATGTCAAATCCTAAGCTAATAAAGAGAGAAATCTTTTAATGATGGAAATATATATTTTTGTAATTAATTATCATAAATAATTTAATATATCAAAATATTTGATCTCTAAAACTATTTTTGAATCAGAGAGATTCTATTTCTAAGAAGATAGTTAATTATTACCATTATATTATCAATTTTTTTTAAAAATAAAAAAGATATTCTGGAAAGGTAATTTTTTTATAAAGAAAAAACATGTTGTTATAAAAATAGTTATTGTTGTTATAGCTAAAAATTAATATAAAAAGGTTAAATATAATACAAGAAAATATTTGATTGTTAATTTGTTACAGTGAAATGATATTATATAAATAATATTGTTACAAAGTTTTTTGACTGTACAAATAAATGACTCAATCTAATATTTTAAAATTTAAATCAAGAATTAAGAAATAGACATTCATTTCATCACAACCTAAATTATTAGATTTGAAAATTCAAATAATAACAGGTCCACTGACATAATAAACCATTATCAAATTAGTACCTTTTTTTTTAATTATTATTATTATTATTATTTTCTTGACGTGATGTGATCTTTATGTAGATTTTATTTGTCGTCAACATCCTTTTAGAAGATCTGTAAGTTTTGTTTCTTTTCGAAGGGATTTCTTTAGTTTTAAAATATTTTTCATAATTTTCTTTTAGTTAAAAATAATATAAAATTTTAATTAACATTTTAAAATATAAATATTTTATTATATTAATATGAGAAAATTTATAGCATTTTTCGTATAATTTTTAAATATATAAATTCAATTTTAAAATATCACATTAATTTAATTTAGCTATAAAAATTAATTAAATTAATTCTCGAAAAGCGATATATGACAACAAATGTGAAGTTCATATTTCAACTGTCTCATGTCCAGCAAAATCAGAATTTTTATGAGTTTTGAAGCATATATTTTTATATTTATTTATTGCATTGTACAAAAAGAAATACTTATATATGTTAGGTTTTTTGATAAAAACTAAAAAATTAAACTTAAGTTACTGAATTTTATCGAATTTATATTGCATTAATACCCCACCCCACCTAAAATAGAAGAAAAAGACATCATGTGATTCTTGAGAGGGGCAAAAAGGTTATTGGGACAACAAGGGGAGCATTGTTTTAATCAATTAATAGGGAACGTTTTTTGTCACCATTCAATAAACAATTCCCAACAAACAAAAATATTTTCCAAAAATACTTTATTTTTAAAAAAAAAATGATTTAAGGTGATTTTCAGGAAAAAAAAAATCAAATCGCGTTGAAAATAATTGATAAATATGAAGCGCTAAAAATTACTCTGTGTTGAAACTAATTTATAGACAAATGTATTAGATAAGACTGCTAAAATATATAATAAATCGTTGATGTATTTGAAAAGAATATTAACTAATATTTTTTCTATAAAAAATGACTTCAAATAAAAAAAAGAGAGTTGATTATTACAAAATTTGGATTCAAATTTCAATACCATTAATTGAGTCTCAATTTACTTAAGTTATAAATTGTTATATTTAATAAATATAAAGTAACTTATGATAAGCTAACATACATTCGCTCTTTCCAACAATACGTGTTCACTATTGACTTTGCATTTTAAAAAAATTTATAAATAGAAGGGTAATTTTACTATATCACCATTTGAATATAATAAATACAATGTCTTGAAAAATGAAAAAAAAAACTTTAATTAATGATAAGGGTAAATTAGGAACTAAGTGTAAAATTATCCATTAATTTCATAAGTGGACAAATATTATCAGATATCCTAAAATAATATAATAGACAACTATTGTTAGACGAAGAAAGTATATACTACTATCAGTAGTCAATAAACACGTACTTAGAAAATGATGAACAATCCTAATGAAAGTCGACTAAGATTTATTTCAAGGTCGTATATGTATGTTTAGTATAACCGCCACTTCAAATCAATTGAATCAATGCAAGCAATGTTGTTCCCACATGCCTATTCATTCATAACCAAAGCTCTTCAAATAAATCTCCTCGATACAATGGACATGGAGTAGAAGTTTTATTTTGAAAATATATATTTCAAGAATTATAGAGGTTGCTCCTCTTTTAATCAGAGATCTCGAGTTCGAGCCCTGAATATAAATTAATCCTTCGTAGGGAGCGTATATTGTTAATGCACGATTTTATTACAATTCCGCCAAAAATATCATAAGGTAAAAGTCGTGAATTACACTCTCAAACCTCCTTAAGAAAATATAACAGTAAAAAAAGTTTAAATCTATTTTTGTTCTATTTGAAATTGCTCAATTTTATTGTCCATTATAATTTTGATCTAATCTTTTTTCCGCGGTTAGAAAAGTTTCTTTTTGTCCATGACCCTTAACAAAGCTCCAATTTTAGAATAATTTTTAATCATAATCAAAATTTGAAAGGGTAAACTTTGATTTTGTTCTCGAAAAATTTGAACAGGTGAAGTTCCTCGAAAATCCTCTTTAAACAAAGACAAATATAAAAGAATATGCTAATACTTCAATGCACATGAGCAAATTTGAATCTTTTCCATGTGACTATTCAGTACTAAATACACAAAAAACTTGGAAGGTTTGCGACTCTGTTAGCGTTTTAGATTCTACTCTCCTCATATTCTACTAATAAAATTACAGGGAATATGTTGATATTCTTATTGCTTAAATCATAATCAAAATTTAAAAAGGTAAATTCTAATTTATTTAATTTTTCAAAAAATTTAGATACTTAAAGTCTAACTCATTTACGACGGAATTTTTTTTATAACAAAGACAAATATGAAAAGATATGCTAAAAATTCCATGAACATTAGCAAATTAGAATCTTTTCCACGTAAGACCACACTGAATATGTTGATAATACTATTGTTTAAACAATAATGAAAATTTGAGAGGATAAATTTTGATTCTTTTTCTCGAAGAATTTGAATACGTGAAGTTCAGATGTCCAACTCATTTAAAACCGAAGATCCTTATATAACAAAGACAAATATGAAAGGATCTCCTAAAAATTCCATGTAAATTAACAAATTTCAATCCTTTCCGCGTAAGAGATTACACTGAATATGTTAATAATGTTATTATTTAAACAATGATGAAAATTTGAGAAGATAAATTTCAATTTTTTTTCTCGAAGAATTTGAAACGTTAAGTCAGATGTCCAACTCATCTAAGATTGAAAGATCCTTTTATAACAAAGACAAATATGAAATGATATCATAAAAATTCAATGTACACTAGCAAATTTGAATCTTTTCTTAGTACTTTAAAAAAACATCAAATAGAGTAAACTTTTTTTCCAATTAAAATTTGTCTAAATGGCTCCAAATACAAATCAAGAGTTGAAGTAGAAGAATATAGGTAAATATGGGAAGTGATATGTGCTGAGAATAGAAAAGAAATATTACAGATCCTCACTGTCATGTCTACTCACCAAAATTCTGAATCTTTCCAAAAGATGGTATTCATATAATAATGAATTATGGCTATGGAAACAGATCAGCTAAGCACGTTCCTTGGTCACATCATCCCCTTTTTAACTGGTTTTAAGATCCCATCTCTTTTTATCATATGGTGTCTTATTCAAAAGTCTGTCTTTTTACCCAGTTTTAATAAAACCCCATTATTTGCCTTCAAGAGAGTGTGCACTGCATATATCAGGATAAAAAAAAATTAAATAAAAAAAAATAAAACCCCATTTACTTGCCCTTTCAAAAGAGCAATTGGGGTTTTTCTTAAAGTTACTTTCTTTGAATGTTTCTATACTCATTGTCTCTATATAAAGTTTCAGTCTTTCATGTGGATTTTGCAAGATTAGCCAGTTCTGGTAGCCATTAACTGATTCTTGTTTTCTCTGTTTCTCTCAGGTATCTTGAATTCTGCTTTTGCCATTCTTGTCTTTTATGATTGCTACATTAATGTTTACTCACTTTTAACAAACCCCATTTACTTGCTCTTTGAAAAGAGCAATTGGGGTTTGCCATGTGGGGGTTTATATATAAAGTTTGAGTCTTTCATGTGGAATTTAGCAAGATTTTTCTAGTTCTAGTAGTATTTTAACTCATTCTTTGTTTCTCTGTTTCTACCAGATATCTTGATTCTGCTTTTGCTATTTGTATCTTGAATTCTGCTTTTGCCATTCTTGCCATTTTTTCTTTGAATGTTTCCATACCCCATTGTCTCTATATAAAGTTTCAGTCTTTCTTGATGTTTTAAGCATTTCATGTGGAATTTAGCCAGATTTTCCAGTTTTGGTTTTTTCTGTGTTTCTCCCTGGTATCTTGATTCTGCTTTTGCCATTCTTTTCTGTTTCATCATTTCTTAAATCTATTCTTGGATTAGTTGTTTTTGCTAGTTTAAAAGTATCATTTTGGTATGAGGCTGTGACATTTCGTTCATTCATATGCAGTTGAGTAATGTAGTTTTTTGTTTGGTTTCTAATCCAGTGTCCGGCACCTACATTGGGGCCAGACAAAATCCGGATTCGCGCGGGAAGTCTCACGTTGGGAGTAAAGTGCTCCCTAATAAAAGTAACTTCGTATCCCGCAGGGCTGGAACTTGAGTAATGTAGTTAGATCTACTCTTAAGGGTCTGTTGGGTCTTTGAAAGGCATACCTCTGTTTTCTTTACCCAATTGGGGTACCCTTAAAAGTTATTTTCTTTGAATGTTCCAGACCAATTGTCTCTTTATAAAGTTTTTGTCTTTCATTACATTTTAAGCTAAAAACATGTGGAATTAATCAAGAATTTCCAGTTCTGATAGCCTTTAATTGTTTCTTTATCTGTATCTTGAATTCTGCTTTTGCCATTCCTTTTTCGAAGTTTCCTAATCTATTCTTGGATTAGTTGTTTTTTGCTAATGTAAGAGAATCATATTGCAATGAGGCTGTGACATGTCCTTTCGTCCATATGCTGTTAGAGTAATGTAGTTAGATCTGTTAATCTCTATTTGCAGATTCATGACTACGCACTCTATGTATGTTTTTAGGTTCTTTCTCGATTGAAGTATATCGTTTTCTTGAATCTTTATGGAAGCGGGTTTCAAAAGTTTATCAGTTCGGTTTTATGGTTGCAAATGTAGCACAGGAAACTTATGGAAGTCTTAAGTTAGGATCTTTCTGTTTTTTCTAGTTCTGATTCAGGAACACAACCGTGTGTTTTGCATTGACTGGTTATATTAATCATGTTGATATTTTTCAATTATGCATATTCTATACATAGGGCCTAGCGGTGTTTCTCAAGATTCAGTCTAATCTACTATCATGTTCTGATTGCAGGTGCTCCAATTAGGAGAAGTTGGAAATTCATTTTTTCTACATAAAATCAAGAATCTGATTTATTAAGGATGAGAGGAGCTGTGCTTATTGCACTTGCTGCTGCCATTGGCAACATGTTGCAAGGATGGGACAATGCAACGATAGCAGGTTTTACCTCAGTACATTCTTGTTCTTTGATTTGCACATACAGAACTTCAGCACTTTTGAAATGCTGGAAATATTAAAAAGCTTGTCTTAGTTTTTACTCGCAAATCTTCAACTTGTTCTTTTCAAATGAATTCATGTTGAAGCACAACTTGAACAGTGATCTTATTGAAAGAAAATGTCTATTTTGTTTCAGGATCTGTTCTTTACATCAAGAAGGAATTTAATTTGCAAACACAGCCAACCATGGAAGGGCTAATTGTTGCGATGTCTCTAATTGGAGCAACAGTGATCACAACATTCTCGGGACCTGTATCGGACATGCTTGGAAGACGTCCAATGCTTATAATTTCATCAGTACTTTATTTCCTCAGTGGATTAGTGATGTTATGGGCTCCAAATGTTTATGTGTTACTTTTAGCAAGGCTCTTGGATGGATTTGGAATTGGTCTTGCGGTGACACTTGTTCCTGTCTATATATCCGAGACTGCCCCACCAGAAATAAGAGGGCAATTGAATACATTTCCACAGTTCACCGGTTCTCTCGGAATGTTTTTGTCATACTGCATGGTTTTTGGAATGTCACTGACACAAGCACCAAGTTGGAGGCTAATGCTTGGGGTTCTATCAATTCCTTCTCTTGCTTACTTCTTTCTTACATTGTTTTACTTACCTGAATCTCCAAGGTGGCTGGTCAGTAAAGGTCGAATGAAGGAGGCTAAACAAGTTTTACAGAGACTACGTGGCAGAGAAGATGTCTCAGGTTTGTCTCGTGGTTCCTTTCTTTGTTCACAATTAACTTATTTCTTTGTTGTATGAGAGAATATATTTGCTCCTCAGAATACTTTTAAGAGCCAAATGAGCTAACACTGTGATCCCCTCGGTTTTAGTGTAATCAGCAATGTTTCTTTGAATGGCTTGTTTCACTAGAACCAACTATGCATAAGATACAAGTTTGTTTTGAAGCCTTACTTATCAGATTATATGTTGGTTGTGAAATCCTTTTTGTTCATTATCATCTATTTGTTGACAAATATACAATATTTCCATCGCTCCCCGAGCTTTGGTCTAGTGGTAAGAGGCAAGTGTGAAGTAAGGGTTAGGTGCACACCATGATTTCGAACTTCGTGGCAGACAAGAAACTGGTATTTTAAGTGGAGAAGGGTAGAGTGGCCAGTTCATCATTCATCTAGTTTCAGACACATACACCAACAGCACTAGGGGATTTCTCGGTTATAAAAAAGAAGTGTACATTATTTCCATTGAATTATTACAATAGTTTTCTTTAAGTTTTGTTCTTAAGTTCAGGTTACACTTTTTCATACTTGAAGTTAATTATCTTCCTCTGGTTTTAACACTCTAGACCAGGATTCTGATGTCTAATGGAATTTTCTCAATCTACAGGCGAAATGGCATTGTTGATGGAAGGTTTAGGTGTTGGAGGTGAAGTATCTATAGAAGAGTATATAATTGGTCCGGACAATGAACTTGTGGACAACCAGGATGAGAAAGATCAGATCAAGTTATATGGAGCCGAAGAGGGTCTTTCATGGATAGCAAAACCTGTCACTGGACAAAGTACTCTAGGCCTGGTCTCCCGTCACGGGAGTATGGCAAACCAAAGCATGCCTCTTATGGATCCGTTGGTTACTCTGTTTGGCAGTGTTCATGAGAAGATGCCGGAGATGGGAAGCATGCGAAGCATGCTCTTTTCGAATGTTGGAAGCATGTTCAATATCACAGAGAATCAAGGAAAAACTGATAATTGGGATGAAGAAAGCCAAAAGGATGAGGAAAATCATATGTCTGATGGTTCTGGGGCAGAATCTGATGATAATCTGAGAAGCCCGCTGCTCTCACGTCAAGGTACAAATGCAGAAGGAAATATGGGACCTCCAACATCATTAAGCATGAGGCAAGGCAGCAATTTCATGCAGGCGAATGGCGTCGGCGAGCAAGCCAGCATGGGTATTGGTGGTGGTTGGCAGCTAGCATACAGAAAAGATGAGAAAAAGGAAGGAGCACTCAAAAGGATCTATTTACATGAAGAAGGAGGCAGTGGATCACGACGGGGGTCCATTATTTCTCTTCCAGGAGATACTCATGCAGATCAAGGTGAATTCATTCATGCTGCTGCTTTAGTGAGTCAGTCTGTTCTTCGTGCTGAGAGCCTCTTGGGTCAACAGTCTATAGAAGAAGCAATCGAGACACAATCTGAAACTGTTACGAAGAAGTCAGTCTGGAAAGCACTTCTTGAGCCAGGAGTCAAGCATGCACTGATTGTTGGAGTTGGACTTCAAATACTTCAGCAGGTAAAAGTTGTTCTATGAACTTGCTGTTTGGCCTTGATAATTAAATGAGGTTCCGGCTTAGTGACATCTGTTAGATGGCGGTATGCTTATATGGACTTGGGCAATCCTTCCCGATCCATTTCTTTACAACATCTAAATTGTCTTTCTTTTGAAGACTGGAAATCTTTGAAGTTAAAAGCAATCCTACCTTACAAATCAGAAAAGCAACTTACTTACTTCCCATTTGGTTAAGATAAGTCATCAGGCAGTCATAAGTACATAGGAAACTAGATCATGAGCAGGTTCTCCTGCATGACTATGTCAAACAAAAAAGTTGTAGTTCATTAGTTGTTCTACTCGACAAAATAACTTCATTAGTTTTCTTACCTTCATATGTTGTGTTTAATATTAACCCCCTTTTGTCACCTTATCTTGCATATGAACTAAACCATTTACTTTCAGCTACTGATTTGCTTTGGTCCTTGTACAGTTTTCCGGAATCAACGGGGTTCTTTATTACACTCCTCAAATTCTTGAACAAGCAGGTGTAGGAGTTCTCCTATCGAATATGGGCATTGGTTCAGACTCTGCGTCTTTCCTCATAAGTGCTGTCACAACTTTGTTAATGCTTCCCACTATTGGTGTTGCAATGAGACTAATGGACTTGGCTGGCAGAAGGTATTCACGATTCTATTAATTGTATAGTTTATGAAACTATGAAAATGATAACATATCAAGCCTTGCTCGATTGTCTACTCATCGTACACCATAGTTACCTCCTGAGTAGATCAGTTTTTGTTACTAAATCAATCTGGAGGATCTAGCTTTTGGGGTTGAGTTAGGCCCAAGATCCGTTCTTTTCAACATCTAAAATGTCTTCTCTTTTGAAGACTAGAAAACTTTGAAGTTCAAACAATCCTACCCTTACAAATAGGGTTAACCAAATTACTTCCTATTTAGTTTAGATAAGTCATCAGGAGAGTAAGTTAGTTCACGAGATCAGGATTGTTCGAAACTTCATAATGATAATAATCAACAACCCATCCTCTCAACTATTCAGGGACACTTCACGCTAAACTTATTGATCACGACTTTTGTTCAATTATTACTTGGACTTTGACCATGTTGAAGTTTGAGTGAACTGCATATATGAAAGTATCTAATTCTTTTAGAAGCATGCATTTTTAACTCTTTCGACTTTCCGTCTAAGAGAAGTTTTACTGTCTGTTTCTTCTCCAGGTGGCTTTTGCTGGCTACATTGCCCGTCTTGTTATCGTCACTTATTGTACTAGTCCTTGGCAATGTTATTAACATGGGTGAGGTCATGCACGCTGTGATCTCCACTGTTAGCGTTGTGGTATACTTCTGCACCTTTGTTATGGGCTTTGGTCCTATCCCAAATATCCTCTGCTCTGAGATATTTCCCACCAGCGTTCGTGGAATCTGCATTGCTATATGTGCTCTTACTTTTTGGATCGGAGACATCATTGTCACCTACTCGCTCCCCATTATGCTCAACTCCATTGGACTTGGAGGTGTCTTCGCCATCTATGCTGTTGTGTGTGCTGTGGCTTGGGTATTCGTCTTCTTGAAAGTTCCTGAAACAAAGGGCATGCCCCTTGAAGTCATTACAGAGTTCTTCGCCGTTGGAGCTAAGAGAGCTGCCACAGAATAAGTTACCTAAACTAGACATTTGAAAAACTTGCTGTTTTCTTTCCCTGAATATGAGGTCTGGTCAACTGTATTTTCGTGACTCGAGGCGATTCATGCGAGACCTACAGAAATGTTGGTGATTTCCCAGAAAGAAGTGAAGTAATCAGTTAACAAGATTGTAGTTATGAATTCATCTCTTTCAGAGTTTCAAGATTTGGATGTCAAGTTTGTCATTGGCACCATCTAATGTTAATGTTTGAACATTTTATTTATACACTTGCTTATTCCCCTTTCTTTATAATCTAAGTAGGCGGTTTTCGCAATATTTGAAGTTCGAAGTTGAAAAAGAGTATTTGGAACTTACTAGTATATTTCACCTAGACGCTTGAACAATGATATGTTCTAATTAAGTACATGAACATATTTTTAGCTCAAATTTTGGAAAAGTTTTTGTAGGTGTTCTCATGGTCCATTACTCCTTTTAATCACTTAAAATATGTCACCTTCTTTAATTATTCCCTCCGTCCCAAAGTAATGACTGCGAAAAGTACTTAAAAGTTACAATTTTACACATATCAATTTGGTAAAGAAAATAAATACATAAAGATGTAAAACCGCCGGTATCATACTAAAAGGACAGCTTGAGCATTTTCACTGCTCGAATTCGATGAAACTAACTTTAGTGTTGCTCCGCCACTCCCTTCTGTCTTAAAACATATAAGTAAATAATTTACTGAAATTATAATTAAAACTTTGTTTGGACGGTTGTCACCTATTGTGTTGTGTTGTGTTGTATTGTATTGTATTGTTAGTTTAAATACGATGTTTGTTTTGATTGTTACTTAATATATATCGTATCGTATCGTATCGTTTAAATTCATCATTAGATAATGACAAAAAAACCCATTTTATGTAATGATCGATTTGGTGTGATCACGTCATTATCTTAATATTTTCTTCTTATTTTTTCCTTTATTTATTATTTAATAATCATATTTTATCATTTATCTTACCTTTTCATATTAACTCTACCTCCTACCCTACTTTGCTGGTACATTTATTATTCTAATTATGAATGTTTGACATTATGTAACTACAAAAAACGATATTCAAACATTGTATTCATTAAAACAATATAGTACGATAGATACAATATAATCAATATTTTTAGAGTCAAAACACTAGCATATTAAAGCTCAACAAATTCCTCTCTTCTACAGAGCATTGCATTGCATCTACTGTAGTGAAGGAAGGAAGGTAATGGATCATCAACAGGAGCAGGATCCTCCAACATTTAACAGTAAATCGCTCGAGAAGAAGCCAGGAATTCTCATTCTTGGATCTCCCAATGTCGGCAAACGTGCCCTTATCGCTCGTAAGTTCTCTATTCTCTCTTTATTTGGACCGAATAGAGCAGATTGGACACATATGATGATTCATATACATCTCTTTTTCTCGGGGTGTATTTGTGTTTTGGGTCGAGTTCAACTTTGTTTAACAGTCAAAGGAAATGGAAATTGGGACAATTTTATATGAATTCTTTTGTATTTGTGTTTAATTGGGGTAGTTCCACTTTGGGTCGAATTTGTTAAACAGTCTTAAGGAAATGGAAAGTGGGACAATTTTATATGAATCCTGTTGTATTTGTGTTTAATTGGGGTAATTCCAATTTGGATCGAGTTCAATTTTCTTGTGTAACAGTCTAACGTAATGGAAACTCGGAATTGCGAATTGGGAGGAGAAAATAACAACCTTATGTTTCCTTTGCTGCTATTAGTTAGTTGTATAGAATGAAATGCGACTCAGAATAAGTGGAATGGATACTGATGATTCATGTGGGTGACCCAACTAATTTGGCATTGAGATGTCGGTTGATGCATAAATTTGTAATCTTTTGTGTGAATTTGTGTTTAATTGGTGTAATTCAAATTGGATCGACTTCAACTTTGTTTAACAGTATAAGGAAATGGAAATTGAGAATATTTTATATGAGTCCTGTTGTATATATGTTTAATTGGGGTAGTTCCGATTTGGGTCGAGTTCAACTTTGTTGTAACAGTCCAAGGATATGGAAGATTGGGATAATTTTCTATTACTTTATCAAATCAAAATTAAAACTGGAAGGAGAAAATGACAAACTAATTAACTACCTGCAGAATAGAAATCGCCATTGTCGTCGACCTCTTAACCTGCAGAAATAGAAGAAAGAAGGATTGATGATTGAGAGAATAGAATAGAGGAGAAGAAGGAAGGAGCATGTGAAGAAGGAAATTACCAATTTCATTAGTCTCTTCTTAGAATCCATTGGTTATGTATTATCCAACTTTGGATCTTAGCCCTCCATCAGCTCTTAATCTGGATCATACACATTTCTGGAAATGTAGCTCTGGTATAATCAAAATCTTACCACGTAGCATCCTCCGGAGGCAAGTTAGACCATTGTACCACGATCTTAACAGCAGCAGCAGCATTGCACCTCTTAGCTAGCTGTCTCCTTAATACAGTTAGTGTCTTAACTAAGAACTGGCATCTTCTCTAGCTCAATTGACAACCTTCTTCAATAAGGATACATGAAATGTTGGATGCGTCTTGGAATTAGCCAGTAGTTCCAGCTTGTAGGCCATCTTCCCTATTCTTTCCAACATCTTGTAGGGACCACAAAAATTGTTACTGAGTTCTGAACGCCACTGACATCTGTTTGTATAGTTGTAGTTTGATGAAAACTAGGTCTCCAACTTGGAATTATCTCTAATTTGTTATTATCAGCATAGTATTTCATTCTCTCCCGAGCCTAAGTAGTTGTTGCATCTGTTGTCTTTTCATCACCCAATCTTCAGCTGGTTGGACTGTGGAATCAAGATCAGGAGTAACAGATCACTGAGGAGGGGGATAACCAGACAGAGCTTCGAATGGAGTACTCTTGTCCTGAGGCTGCAAGGTAGTTGGCATTGTACCACCATTTGGCCTAACTGAGCCTAACTGAGCTACTGTTTCCACTGAGTAGGCCTATTATAAGTCATGCACGTCATCAAGTAAATTTGAATGCATCTGTTGACCCTTTCTGTCTGTCCATAAGGTTGAGGGGGGTAGGAGGTGCTAAATAGAAGATGAGGGGACCCACCAATTTAAAGGTAACAGAGGGAAAATGTAAGGTGAATTGAATACTTCAAGTGTACCCTTGGTCTTTTCCTTTTTAATTTTAAAAGAAGCTACTAAACGAATGCTAGTCAAACAGAAAATGAGATGATGAGCTGGCCCAAGTCGTGACAATTCATTGGTGGTGGGTGGTTACCGTGCTAGGTAGAGAATGTTTAGTTATGAATTGACTCATTGATTGTAACTCACTCCACACCCTTCTGTTGAATTATCTAGTATGAATCTTATTTCTGATGTAAAATGAAATTGTCTAAAGTTAGTGAAGTAAGTCACTTAAGATGGAGCTAATTCTCAATTCGTGTTCATAATGCCAACTAAAAGTTGCCCTGAAGAGTCAAGAGGGCCAATTCGTGGAGCATCCAAGGGTATGTTCTAGTGGTCAATGAAGTAGGAGGAAAATATAAGGTCTCAAGTCTTAGTGCACAGAGTTACCGGTACTTGTGTTGGTGGGAGGCAACATGTACTTGGAATAGTCGTGTTCTGTGTTAGTTGACTAAGACACCACTTTCATAAAAAAGAAAAGAGGGCCCATATTCATACTATTAAATTTTTCTTTGAGATTTTACGATAAATAAGATTCCCCTTTTGCCTTGATAGGACTCATGCCATATTTGCACTCCCAAAGATTGCATTTTGAATTTAAGCCCTTATTTTTGACCTGTTCATTTCCTCAGCATCCATGCCAAATGGGTGTATTTTGCTAACTTTTCTAGGAGATGGTTATTACAATGTAAGATTCCATATTTGCCCTCATAAGACTCACTCACATTTTGCCACACAAGTGAGTTTGTGAGCCCTTATGTTGTATGGGCCAAATACTAGAACAAGGATAATAATATCTCCCAACAGTTTGAACTGAAATATGGAAATGGAAACGTTCTTCCCAAGTTCCCATATAATTGATGCATATGTGGAACTTACCTTCAGATCAAGTAGTGTGCTTCTCTTTGATAAGTTATCCAAGTTTTACTTGAAATGTATTCGTGAGTTTGTAACAGATACCAGGCGCCTCTAACTTCATCAGAGAAACATGTTACATTTGTTTTTATAATTTGTCCTGTAAGTATAGTATACTTTATCCAGTTTTTTTTGTCAAGTCCCTTTGGGTTTTCCTGGAATTATCTTCCCTTAGTTCTTTTGATTTATCTCAACACCAGGAGAATTAAAAAGGATCACGTGTAAATCCTAATTTAGTGTCTCATTCCTTTCTTGGTTGTGAGTGAAGAAGAATTTCGGTGTTCATTTTTTAATGTGTCAACAATGCTGTTATTTGGCTCGGGTACATTGACCAAGTCTGCTGTATCTGCGTCATATTTCGAATAAAATATATTGGGTTAATGACCTAATTTGTGGATGTGAATTTACTTTATTTTACATTGCCTGATAAACTTCAACTTTTTTGCGTGCAGGACTACTTTCAGTAGATTCTGAAGATGCCTTCGAATCATCTTCTAACATCCTATCCTATCTGTAAGTTGACAAAGTATATCCCCTCCCCTTTCATTAGTTATATTGTTGCAAAAAATTCTCTTGTATCTTGAACTTCCTTTCTATGTTATCATTATGCATCATTGCCTTGTTGACCAGGTGGACAATCAACACCAAGTATTATAATGCTGATGTTTCTGTTTGGATGGCCCATCTTCATGAGGATTTTTCCATTGGAGCTCTGCCAGCATATGATCAGCTTGTTGCATTGGTGATGGTCTTTGACGTTACAGATGTAAGCCAGACCCTTTTCCCTATTTGTTTCGTTTCCTACTTTACAAAAGCTTTTGTTATCTACGAGACTATAGACTCTATTTCAGAAATCTGATGACTTCTCTTCTGCTACCATGTGCAGCTCTCATCTTTTGTTGCACTTAAAGATTTTGTCTCCCGCACTGACATCCTTAAGTTTGAGATTTTGTTATGCATTGGCAACAAAGTGGACCTTCTTCCTGGTCATTCTGCTCATGTTGAATACAGACGGCGCCTGTTGAAAAGTGCAGACTCCTCTGGTAGCCCTTATACAGAAATGGATTCTGGAATTTCTGAAACAGAAGGAAGCAGTCTACTAGGAGATGATGATGATTCATTTGATACTAAAAGGTCCTACTTGGAATGGTGCCTCGAACACAGCATAGAATATGTTGAAGCCTGTGCATCAAATGCTGAATTTGACAAATGTATGTCTTAGTTTTTGTTATGACATTTCTATCCTTCTTTGTCACAACGTTCCTTGTTCCCCGGTTTTTCAATCTCCTCTTTTTTTAATTAGAAGATAAAATCCTTTTGCTGCATCACTTATATACAGAAGCAAAAGAGTGAAAGGAAGAAAATTGAGGTGGTTAAGGTTATCTGTTTCGCTTTTTGATTCATGTAAGTCTAAGGGGAGTGTCTGAAGGTTCCCATTAGAGAATTTTATTTATTCTAGTCCCAGTTATTTTACTGTGCCACCATTGATGAGATTTGTGGCAGCATTAGTCATTGTCTATACATTGTAGGTTTTCGTAGTGTAGTTCCAAATGGAGTCTTTTGTCACTCCAAGGTTGTCGGTTGGTATTATCTGTATATAGAGAGATACTTACTCACATGTCCCTGGATATGCCTTTGTATTAATCTGTATATTGGCAATCTATGGTAATTGCAAATGGGAGTAAATCTGAAATGTAGCTAAATTATACCCCAATAGTTCACTCACTGGCCCTAAATGCCGACATTAGTATGACTCATGATACAACACATGTTGTGATATTAGTTGCTGCAGAGCTTTGGGACCTGATGCCCCATCGTGGCATGCCTGCTCCATTTTGCAGCCAATTATGGTTCATAACTTTTGTGTCTGCTTTTTATTTGATCCATGAGCTGGTTCTAGTTTGTCTTTTCAATGATGCTTAAGCCGAAATGGGAGAGTTCTTACCCCTTTTTTAACTTTTACCTTTCGGAATTCAGTAATGAAATTAAGAATCTTTTTATGGCAGGTCTTTCTGTGGATGGTGATTCTCAGGGCGCTGAACGGCTCTTTGGGGCACTTTCAGCTTATATGTGGCCTGGAATGATCTTGAAGTCTGGTGATAAGATTACTGAACCTTCATTACCTGAACATCAAGGTCTTACAATATCTGGTCAATGATGAAAATATATCTTTTTCTTTTTTGAGGGTCTATTTAATTGACATAACATTTTTATTCCCACCTTTCAGAGTTGTCAGATGAAGAATCTGATTATGAACTTGAATATGAAATCTTGTCTGCTGGCTCGGCTGATCCCTGGGATGACACAGATATAGGATGGGTATCTGCAGATGCTCCCGTTGCAACCACTGGAACCGAGGGATCAGTTCCCAATGGAAAGAGTGAAGCCGGGTTAATTAGAGGAGAAATGCAACCCTCATCTTCTACATCTCAATTGGAAGGAGAAAGTGACAGAAAAGAACTGCCCAGAGCAGATGCAGCTGATGGTGATTCAGAGGATGATAAAGGAACAACATATGATTTTGAGAATTTGGAACAGTTAATGTCCGAGATTGGGAATGTTCGAGACAGCTTAAGGTTAATGCCAGACTTCCAAAGGAGGGAAATGGCTGCAAATTTGGCAATGAAAATGGCTTCCATGTTTGGTGATAGCAGTGGAGATGAAGGAGGATTGGAATGATAGGAGAAACCCTTTAAAGTTGACTGATCACGAATGCCTCAGTTTCACTTCTTGTAGAGCTGTTCATAGACTAAAGGAATCTCATAAGCACATTGTGCATTCATGTCAAGTGATATCGACAAGATATTTTATCAAAGATATCTGCTATAAAATTTACGGATCTAATTGTGTTTATGATGCAAACGCAGCAGTATTTACAAGTCCTAACAGGTGATTGGAGATGGTAGAAATGATTTTAGCTTGTTCAGGCTTCTACAGAAGTTCTTTAGATTTCCCTGGCAGAAGCGATTTTATGTGATGCTAGCAAGAGTAATAATTTATGTTACGAGAATCAGTTATTGCTATATTTCTTAAACTTCTGGTTATGTTATGACTTATGAGAATCAGGTATCTTCTCTTGTTGATACACCCAAGAGCAAATACAGTGGTTCTGACTTCTGAGGCTGGTGGTACTTTCAAGTCCACTATTTCTTTCACATCATGAAGATGGCTTGGCACATTTCAAGAATGGTCCTCGCAGAAAGGTTTGGCCTTGAGGGACGCGATATTCTGATGCAAGAAACAGGTACTATGCTGCTTCTTGCCTCAACTTAAGTTTTCCATGCCCGGTATTTATACAAACTCATGAGTACTTTACATGCATTGTTATCACTTAACAATTGTTAGATAGTACACATTCGAATTATCAGACTAATCAGGTAAACTAGTGTAGTTTGTGTTCCCATGGTTTCTGGTGTCATGTAGAGGCAAAACAAAAACCAGGATTATGAATAGGATATGTGTCACTCATTTCTATCTTGCACGTTGCTATAAATACGTACTTTCTGCAACAGTTTTTTGGTTTGGAAGCTGTGAAACTGCCACTAGTGGATGAAGGTTTAGAAGTGATGAGGAAGCCATGAAAAGAAGCTTTAGTGCAGGTCTTATTCTCCCAGATATAGGAGGTCATAGGGTGGAACTAATATATCTTCTTCACTTTTTCCATCTTATCTCCTAACCCCTTTTTACACATGGAATGTCTTCTGCTTGTTCTAGTGGTTACTTTGCAATATTAGGAGTGTCAAACTACCCGGTAGCCGGTAGGGCTGAATTTGGGCGGGTCAAAATAGATCGAGTTAATGACCTGCCCTAAAGTTACTTCGGCTTGAAAGCTAAACAATGGGTTATAGCTCAATGGCTCAACCCCATCAATTCTTACTGAATTTTTATTAATTTGTTCAAGTAAAATGGCCACTTTGTGCACCTCGACTAATTTCACTGAATATTTGCCACCTCCAACGCAACAAATATATTTGAACATGAGATTTAATGATTCTCAACTTACTTCATTGAGCATTAGCATTAGGCCAAATCTTTGGGTAAAACTATCTCGTCTTTATTACGACCATATATATACAGTATATCAAATCAAAAGAAAATTGAACTTTTTAATAAGATTTTTTATGAGTCAATTTGAGCTAGATATCAAATCATATTTTTAGATTGGACAAGTCAAAATGAATTAAATTAATTATGCAAGAATTAATGACCCAAATTATGTTTTCATGGACTAATTTTGTTATTGGAAACCACGCTTCTTGATTTGTTACCACTGACCTACTCAAGTTTGATAAAAATTAACTATTGACATTAACAAATATAGAGTATCCACATTTAGTTGCCTTTTACCCAATTTGTGCTTCTTCTTTTTTTTAATAATATAAGTGATAGTAATAGACTAGTAGGTAAGGTGGTATTTGTGTTAAGTGGGTTTCTTCTCTATCTATACATATCCCTTTGGCTCATTGCTTTTTAGGAGAAATAAGATTGGACTCATAGACTCGATTGAATTTAGTAATTTTAGTTCAAATCTTATATTTGTTTTAAGAAATCCATTGACTATCTATGTATTACTCTTACTTTTAGGGTCCAATAACCATTTTGAATTCATAAATTTTAATTCTTGACTCTGCGTAAAAGCACCCTAAGCTTTGAGTGATCAACAATTCTTGGTCTAGTAATAACAATGCAACACATAATGTTTGAGTTAATAACATACTTTCACCAACTAAATTATGGTATTTAAGTGAAAAGGTAAAGGAACAAACTCATTATCTAGTAAATTTTGTATCGCGTATTGTAAGTCATTCCATTAGAATGGAAATAAACTACCTATATACAACATCATCCTCTAATAACTATTATTGAAGATTGCAGATATTTATTGAATATCAACAAGGCTTCTATTAAACATATTTGAAAAGAGGCGAATCAATGCGCGCAACATTAGACTAGAAATTATATTTTTAGTCTTTTTCATTGTACCAAAATGAAAAAACAAAAAATAAATACATAAAACAAAAATGAAAATGATTTTTTTTTTTCAAAAAAAAAATAAAAATCTCAATATTCTTCGTCCCCTCCAACAGCCATAATTTCATTTTTGTCACTTTCTTACCCTCCCATCATAATCACAAGGAAAGTATGCCTTATCCCTCGACCTCATGCGGGGCCCATTTCCATCACCGGGAAAAAAAAACACCGTTACCAATTTACACTTACCACGATGCTCCGGCCGGCGACTTTTTCATATTAACTCCGTTTACTGTTTACCTACCGGAAGTTGTAGACTACACCGGCGTTAAAATTTGACCTCCGTCGGAAGATTCGCCGGAAATTGCAGGAACTTCGCCGCACTTCCGGCACCGAGCACGAGCAACGACGAGAATCTGCCGGCAGGAAGGACACGACGAGTTCGTCAAAAGCCACGTATCAACACACTGGAGGTGAAACCGGTGGCCACAATTCGGCAACACTCGAATTTCATCTCCCTCTACGTACTCCACCAGACAAATCGCGCACTCCGCCGCGAACGGCAGCTCACCGCTCGACGGATCATACTTGAATTTCGGTAAATACTTAAGAACTTTCTTCTTCAAGCCTTTATTCTTCACCGGCGGTGGATTTTCCGGCGGGTCCCGCCGAAGCCAAGTACAACGAGCAACTACGATGAGTCCGGAAACACAGATTACTGCACAGAGTAGAGCAGCAAGTATAACGATGAAGTCAGACTCCGCTGCCGTGGCTGACGGTGGCTGCGCTTCCTCCGCCGCCGGCGAAGTGGAGGAGGAGTTAGAAGTTAGCAGAAATCTAAACCGGCGAGTCATAATTTAGAAAGAGATAGTAATAATTGAGGGGTTAGGGTTTTCAATTTCAGAAAAAAAGGTTGAAATATCGTTATATATATGTGGAGTAGTTGGACTGTTTGAAACTAAAAAGTTAGTTGATACGGTGAGTATTGTTCAAAATCATACAAAATGACGATACTTAAACGATAGTTAAATATCGTGACGAAGCTATGAATTTTGTTAAGAACGTTTAAAATATTAATATAAGTAGAATGTTCGAGTGACCATCCTGTAGTTGTGTTACTGGAGTTATGCCACTAGTTGGATGTACGTATAGAACTAGATGTTTCTAAGCTGAAAATTTGTTGAAAACCTATAAAGATAATGTTTTTTTTTTTTTTTTTTTTTTTTCATATTGTCTTTTTTTCAAATTTTACTTGTGAGACTGTGTTGAGCATGTTATTGTTATGACTAATGTAAAATATAAGTTAAGATGGAATTGATAAAAAAATACGGATGAGTCTGATTTTACTATCATGTAAAGAAAGTGAATATTATGCTAAATTTAATGCTAAAAACTAGTTCATGAGTTAAGTATTGTGCAATGTAATGGTAGGAGGCAACACTTTCATTTCACGAATCAATATGAGATATATAGGGTGACGATCATTTTTGTAATAAGGCGCTTAATTTTTTTTGAATTTTATATATATATATTGTTATTTAAAAGAGTGGTTGGTGGAAGAAAACACTTGGCTCAAATTTAGAGAGAAATATTTTAAAATATGAGACATTCCAACACTTCTAAGATCAGATATAACATTTTGTTGTATACCAAAAGTTAATTTGGTAAAAAACAAAATAATTTTGTGCCAACATTTACAATTTGAAACAATTTAAATTTGAAGTCTTTTTTAAAAAAAAAACATTCTGCATTTGGAAATAGTAGTCTGATTAATTCATATAAATTATACTCGTCAATCAAGTTTGTTTAATAATAGTAAGCTTTTAATTTGATTCATCTTTTTTATTTTAATACATATTAAGCCTTTTATTTTACTGAATTGAAGAGCAATTAATCACTATGATCTTAGAAAAAAGTGTAAATTCCTTTTTTTTTCCTCCTATGTTTCCATTGATCTATTCATATCGTAGAAAATCAATTGAAAAAGTTTACACTTGCTATTAATAATAATCTCATTTTCAAGACTTAAACTAGACATAATTAAGAATAATGAGTTTTCACTATTTCACACTACCTTTTGGTAGTATAAAGTTGAATTTTTAAATGTTGTGAGTTGTACGATGTGATAAGAGTATGATTATGAGAAATGTCTAATCTTTTGAAGAGGGAAAATGGTGTCATGTCAAATAATTTCTTTTAGGCCTCGTTTGGTTTGGAAATTAATTATCTCAAAATTAATTAATTTTGAAATTATTATTTTATTTTTAATGTGGGATAAAATAACGTTAATAGTTTTGAGATAAGTTATTTCATAATTTTATCCAAATTAAATATGAGGTAAATTCATCTTAAAATTAATCTCTGAATTAGTTATTTCTAATGCTTCATACCAAACGAGTCTATTAATTGATTCTTATTCTATTGTCCAACATGGAGGCAGGTGTTTATCACCAACAAAATCATTGTAAATATTTTGTGGGATTAATTATCTCACTATTTATTCCATCATTTATATGGAAGTACCTCTTGAGTTAGATAAGAGAAAAAGAGATTGTGTTAGAGTCGTTTATGTTAGAGAACATTTTATTTTTAGTGTGGTGGTTTTCGATAAATTTAAATTTAGTCAAGTCTTAATATTGATTGAAAAAAAAAAAGGAAATTATATTTTTGATCTTGTATCAATTCAATTGTATATTATTTTATTTTGCATTCGGTGTTTGGTATCTTTTTGAAATCCAATTAAATTTAAATTTGTGGTGAAATATTTATCATAGAGCGTAGATCACTTTCTAAAAAAGACGAATTTATATTCAAAATTTAAAACTCAAAATCTCTAATTATAGAACAATTCAACATTATGTTCCACCTCAAAGTAACAACGTAACAATAATAACAACAAATCAAGTGTAATTTCGTAGTTTCCGATAGATCATCTATTCAAGAAAAAACATATCAAAGTAGGTAAGAAAAATAAAATAATAAAAGTAAAGGAATCACAATAAGATATTATAGAAAGCAACACGATAGAACATTCCCAAAAAAAGGACAAAAAACAATTGATGGTAACAAAAATGGAAGGGCCAAAAATTACAAAAGAAATACTACAACTACAAGTATGAAAGGATAAACAAGATAACACGCTATTATCTACTAAACTTCTATTCTAATTTGTATCCTTCATGACCTTTTATCTATATATATATATATGATTTTTTGTTTTCCTAAAGAAGGATGAATTAATTTCAATTAAATAACTTTTTAAAAAATAAATACAATGCTTGAACTAAAATTATTAAATTCTGTTGAAATAAACAGTATGCTCCTTACCAGAGATAACCAACACAACTCATATGGGGTTCACTTGTTACTTAACAAGTAGATTTATGGGTCCTCCTTGCTTGCTTCAGGACATTAGATTGAAAAAATAATATTTCAAGTTTATTTATTTCCTAATTAGAATAATTAAAAAAAACAAATAATATAAGAACATAGTGAAAAATCTACTAAGAGAGAAGTAAGAATTTGTTCATATATAATTACCATCTTTTCACTCTCTTTTTTTTTGCTTTTAAAAAAGAATATCTTTTACTAAATATCTTAAATTAGAAGAGTTGAACTTGAGAGATGCAATTTTTGATTTTGTATTAAAGTAAGCAAGTAGGACCAAATGGATCCACTTGTCTATCAACTAGTAACAAAGAGTTATTCAACCTAAGTTATGTAGTATAGTTTATTCACCAAATAATACATTTGTGTTAAAAAAATATTAAATACGTAAAAATATTAAATTTAAAATGTGAAAAGTCTAATATCAGTCCTTTAAAGTGAATGATCTCTTTAATATGATTTGGGTAATTTCAATCTCTGGCTAGCTTTTAGGAATTGATTTAGGCCCAAAATTCATTTTTTTATGGTATCGAAGGAAAACTCATACCTCTCAATTCTTGTTATCCGATGATGGGCCCCCGTGTTATATTATCCACACTCTAGATGTTCAGCCTTGAGCGCAGTGGCGGAGCCAGGATTTTCATTAATGGGATTCAAAATCTGAAACAATAGACACATGACGTAGCCGAAGGGGATTGAACATCTACTATATATACCTAAAAAAGTTATTTTAACCATGTATATATTATATAATTTTTCGTCGAAGGGGGGTCCGGATGAACCCCCTAATAGTAAGGTGGATCCGCCACTGCTTGAGCGTGAGGTGAGGTGAGGTGTGAAGAAGTTTCACATCGGTGGTTTATGGAAAGAGTGATCTTCTTATTGTTGGAAAATATATAGATGGGGAAATTATAATATCAAAATAATTATATGACAATTAAGATAAAAACTACTACAATAATATTCTTAAGTTATATATATATATAATACTTGAGTCGTGCTAGACACTGTCGTAAGGAACTATTTCAGTAGTGTGAAATTTTTCCCCAGGATTAAACAAGCCTTTTCTAACTAATTAGAGGATAAAAGAATCAACAAAATATAAATACTACAAAACCAGCAAGACAATTGAAAGAAAGTGTTTGAAAGAAAAGTGTTTTCTATTTTTCTTTGGTAATTTGTTCTCACTTAGTTCATCCTTTGATAATGTCATATTAGGTCTTTATATAGAGAAGATAAGGAGATTACGTTGGTACCAAGAATACTTGGTCACCAAGTAAATCAATACTTTAACACCAAGTAGAGCAATACTTGGTCACCAAGTTGGATGACAAAGTAGTAAAAAGATCACATGTTAAATGTTTCACTTTGGCCCAAAGTAATTAAATCTTTTGAAATAATTATAATATTTCTAACACTTATATGGTCTTCGATAATCCTCCTTTCAAGATGCATTTGAAGTTGAGTTAAGCTAACTTTTGAGGTTGAATTAAGCCAAAGATTCATTTCTTTACATGGTATCAGAGCATGATCATCTCAATTCTTATTTTCGACATTGAATCCTCGTAGTAAACTGTGCATGCACCCAATTCAATCCTTGAACGTGATATTGGGAGAGGGTGAAGAGTCTGGCATCGGTTCTTTAAGGAATGAGTGGTCTCTTTAAAATAATTTGGACAATCTTCACCTATTGAATTAGCTTTTACAACTAAGTTAAACTCAAAATCTATTTATACATAGAACCAAGTTATTACCACTTAAAATCCCTATTTTTAAAATTTAAAACTCGTAAAATTAAAATTCTACCTTCATTATCGAGTGCACATGAATAAAATATCTCATAATTTAACAGTTAGAATAGACTATAAAAGAAGATTATTTTAGTGATAAAAGATACTATATGTGCATGTACATATAAGTGGAGATATTAGGCTAGCCTATTTGGGACTACAATCTTTAGCCTTTATCTTTTATCTTTGCCTAAATGAAAAAAAAAAAGTTGATATATCATATCAAATGACATAAATAATGAAGTGATTATAATTAAAATGAGAATACATATTACATCAAGTGTGACTAAGGAAATATAAAATAAAAACTTTCATAAATTATATGGCCAATAAGTTCATATAGTTTAAATCTAAAAATCAAAACGTGATAAGTAATTTGAGACGAAGGAATATATGTGTGCCGCAATGCATATAAGTAGATAATCCTTACCCTTTACCTCTTCAATAGGTTATATATGGAAATATAATCATTATATTTTATCTTTTACCTCTTATCATTACATCTTATCTTTGCCTAAATTGAAAAAAGTTGATATATCATATATCATATGATAGAGCAAAATAAAGCTAAGATTTTTCTTTTTCTAAAGCATGGGAATTGACACATCCAATTGTTTTCATTGCTTTTAATTGGACTACTAAAACCATACATTCAACATATGACAATATCTTGTGATTTTAGCCGCCTATACGTCATCGTTCATAAGTCATAGTCGATGCATATTCACTATATAATAAGTGTATTGCTAATATATAATCAACTTATAATATATATAGTGATTATATTTTGCTGAGATTTACCAAAAAAGAAAATTAAATTAGAGTTGTTTTTTTGTTGTAGGCTTTGTTGACTGCTTTTTATAATGTAAAAATCCCCAATTTGTCATTTGCAAGAATGCAACTATTTTGAGGCGATCTTTAATTTTTGTCACTCAAATTTGTAGACTTAAATTTTTGTCCACCAAGACTGTTAATTACTAAAAAAGACGCAGAACATTATAGAGCGTAAGTTCAATTTTAGAACATTATACCTTGAAAAGTTCATACACTAAACTTGATGCTTTATAAGACATACTTTGTGCCTTGAATAGTTTTTTAAACAATGTCACATTTAAAATTGGACTATATGTCCTAAATCATACACATTTTTCCCCGATCTGACACAAGTAGGGCAACATTTTTATAGAGTTCGAGCAACATAGGTAGAAATCAGCAAACTCAATTCACAAACAAAAGGGAAAAGAGAACATTCACCAAAATTAAGATGACAAAAATGCATTGTTCCAAATCAATGCAATTGACCAAGAACCATGAACATATATAGCAGCTCCAGAAACTTGGTTATCACACATAAAAACAGGCAGCCAATTCACAAACTAAAATAACGCCCTCTCGCCCCCAAAACACGAAGCAAAATGAGAAGAACGCGTAGCTCATGAACAATGTTAGTTAGCTTCAACAAAGGCATAGAGAAACACCGAATTCATTTCTAATTGGGGATCGATCAACACCATTGAAGGCCAGTTTGTCAGTATTGAAAACATGCACATCCATCATCGCTATTCAAGAAGCCTTCTTCTGCGTATCTGCATCATGCAAAGTAAGCTTGGTGATCAGTTATGTCGTCCAAAACAGTACACAAAATACAACTTTAATCTCTTTTTTACTCAGATGCCATAAATGGAAGGAGAAGATGTTGTTCTAAATGGAAATGTTTCTTGCATAGGTCCACATGATGTACAACGATCCAGTTCTTTAGTATTATAGCTAAATGAAAAAGAATAATAGAAACAAAAATTTGGCACAACAGAGCCAAAACAAGACAAGTAATCTTTTTCTTTTTTGATAATTGTGGTGTCTGAGCCAGCTTGCACGCAACTCGACTAACTCCACAAGATACATGCTATGTCCCATCAGCAACAACAATAGCTACCAGCTAACTCTGTCCACCAAGGCTAGAACTGATGGGAAAAAAAAACAGTGTTTTCTCTCTACTGGAATTTTAACCCGAAACCTCATGGTTCTCAACCCACTTTGTTGACCACTAGGCCACACCCTTGGTGTGGTTTACATTTTCTTTTGAACTATATGCATCATTTGACAACATTTCCATTTTTTACTTCCAAAAAGATCTCTGAAAAAGGAGAGAAATGTTTCAATGGATTTTAGAGTTTAGACATCAAGACATGCTTCATGTTGTCAAGTAACTTTTCAATAATAAGAGTATGAAGGATTTGACTCAACAGTCGGTTTGAAATTAGATATTCTCACACTTGTATTTGTTTTCTTTCACCACCAGTCACCAATGAAAAGCTACACTTATACAACATATACCATATGCTGAAATAACAAATACTATCACACTAATTTGATGAGAGAAAAATAACAAATTCAGCAGTTGGCAGTTATAGTATAACATCATCAATGGAGATAAAAAAGGATGAAAAGTTGAGCACTAGATTAAAATGTGAACACCTTGCGATCAACAGAGTAACCCGTGGGTATGCAAAACTCACTGCTCAACAATAGTGCTTCAAGTTGAATAACAAGATGGTATACAATTTTCTCCCTAAAGTATAGTTCAGATCATGAGCCAATGTTAATTGCAGGAACTAATGTCAGAATTATGAACCCATATACAAGATGCTAAGCCAAATTGAATCCAAAACGCATTATAACTCTGTTCCACAAGAACCTCAGGCACCATGTTTCATCACAAAATAGCAAACGCGTGTCTAGTATGTCCTTCAAAGACAAAACAGAATTACATCTTTTAATTCTTATTTCATGCCTCAAAACTAGTCTTCCCAATATGACACCGTCTTTATATAGTAAGAAGCAGCCAACCTTTCAGAAGTGGAAACTAGATGAATAAACAAAAGCTTAAAGAAGGGAAAAGTATTTCTCTTTATAACTTTATTCACCCCACTCTACACAGTCTCCAGCCTGTTTTTATCAGCTTAGAGTACCCTCTCTAGCCACCCAGCTCCCATCTGAACCTCTTCTCTCTTGCTCTCTCTTCGTCGCCACGTTACTATCACCAAACCATCCCCACGAGGATTGATGATAAGCATACACTTCTGTGTCTCTTGTTTGTCTTCTCCAACCTGTCACTACAAAGACAAAATCCAGTCCCGCTGGACTTGCATTTGAAATGCACTCTCTCCTCATCCATTTCCCAAGACTACCTCACCCACACCTGGACTTACTGAGTACCTGAAAAATTATTCTATCTTGTTTGCCTTTCTCCCTCCAACCCTTTCCCATCTGAAAACATTTGGGGACCCAGGTAAACAAATTCCTTTGATAAGTTACCTCATTATCCTATATCCTTCCCTTTCATCACGCCTCTTAATCTCCATCCTAAGTTCCTAACCCCTCTCTCACATACCTTATCTCGTATTCAAATAGAAATTCAATCACCAAATTTTCCCCAGAAATCCAAAGCTCGCCTAATTGTGTATCATCAACGCGTTTAATGTTCTAGCTCACATAACTAGCATACGCCTTCAGGAAAAAATATACAGAAAAATAGAAGCTGATGCACTTCCTTTTTTACTGATAAGTAAATGAGAAAAAGAAACCGGGGGGAGGGGACTATATTCAAGTAACACAAAGGTCAGAAAACATAAATGAAAGAGAAGAAATCATCAAACAAGAACCAGGTAACTAAATACTTGGCCAAAGCTAAGTTGCGATCTCCTGAATCCCAAATCGAGAAGCTTTTAGGACACCATTGCAGCAGTTTCATCTTCTTCGGCCTCTCCTGCTGACACTTCGTTAAACATATACTGGCTCTGATACTCCATCAAGTACTGTGTGGATCTCTTTACATCATAAAACAGATTATAGACTCGAGTAATATCTTCCACTTCAACAGCCTTCCCTTTTCGCTTTTGGCAGGCCAATGCTGCAGAAGTGATAAGGTGGATGGCGTATCTCAAAGAAGTATTCACCCCTATCTTGGTCAATAAAACTTTTGCATCCTCAGACATTTCTACATCCTCCTCTTGGCATCTGATGTCCAGGATGTTGCGAATTTCTTCCTCTTTGTAAGGTTGCGTAGAGATGATGAGCAGGCGATCAAGAAAGTCAATTGGAATCCCATGTGGGGATCTGTAGTTTGTTCCCCGGATTGTAGTAATGCCTCTATTTGTAGCAACAACCAATATAGGTGCCATGTCATTCTCCAGAGCTCGGTTTAGGAAAGAGAAACACTCAATGTCAAGCATATGTACTTCGTCAATGAAGAGGACACCAGGCACAATCTCTGCCTTTCCTTCCTCCCTCCACTCTGCAACCTTGGTATCTATTTGTTCTCTCACTTCAGCACGAATCTCACCAGTATCACCCGTAAACAGTGCTAAAAATCCCTGTGTTCTGAAATTGAGATGAGCTGATTAACATATTTAATCTAGTGAAGTAGGAAACAAGGAGATTCTTTAAAGATGTCAGATGTTTTCAGAGGCAACTCTGAAACTCAAAGCATGAAACTTAAAAGTTTTGCAAATACACTAAATAGGAAAGACATGCAACTGCAGATGGCGAGTAGCATCACTAATTAAAATTGAAGCGAAGAAAAGGCAAAGGAAAGAGGAAGATACAAAATCTAAGACTAGTGACAAACATAAATATTTGTTAAAAGCAGTTTATCAATCTTAGCACACAGAAAGATCAGTGTCCTATTCAAATGTTGAAGTCCATTCCCTATGAGGCAAAAAATAAACACCATAAAATACAAAAATCCAACCAAACATAATGCAGAAAAGAGAGGTTAAAACACAGTTCACCAAGAGTGAAGCGATTAACAAGAAAGAAGTAGTCATATCAGTTCCTATTCAAAACACACCTCATTCATTCTTTTGGCAACATTTTACTACAAACGTGAATGTCTTTTTTGAAGCCAATCCTGTCAAATGATCACCAAGAAAAGCTACTAAATGAATACTCACTGTATCCCCATGCATTACTAGCAAAATGTTATATGATAACATAAATAGCTAACTTAGCAAAAAGTATCTTATAGGAGATGAATGGAAGAATACTATTTGGGATGTAATGCTGCGCTTGACTTCTAAAACCCTTTTGACAGAACACTTACGATTCCAACAACAACATACCCAGTGTAGTCCCACAATGTGGGGTTTGGGGAGGGTAGAGTGTACACAAACCTTACACCTACCTCACAGGTAGGGAGACTGTTTCCGTAGACCCTCGGCTCAAGGAAAAGCACTCCAAAGCAGTACAGAAATAGAAGTAACAGAAGTACAAGAATCAACCCATAACAACAAAACAGCACAGAGTAGCAGTTGACACTTACTCTTATTCCTATTAAAGAACAATTTCCTATGGGAGGATAATGCAGATAGGAACAATTAAGTAAGCAGTCATAGATAAATCAAAATCATTCCTTTCCAACAACACACCCAGTGTAGTCCCGTCAGCTCAAGAAAAAACAGCCCAAAGCAGTCCAGAAAAAGAAGTAACGAAAGTACAAGAATCAACAGATAATAACAAAACAACCTATAGTATTAGCAGAACAAAAACTATAACAAAACAATATGATAATCGAGCTACAAGGAATCAAAGAAATCATTTCTTTCCATAAACAAATAACATCAGTAGCAAATTAGTACCTGCTATTTATGACATCAATTTCATGAAGGGTAACGCAATGTACAATCTCCTTGCGCTTCTGCAGCTCCCCTTCAGGACATTGTACAAACTTAGTCTGAGGTCCCATAGCATCATAATCCCTCGACCTCGCAAACGACCTCCCCAACTTCGTAATCTTCCCAGAAGCCTTGTCAATAGCAATAACATCCCCACTCTGTACTTTCTCCTTCCCTAAAGCCTCAATCATCTTCGCCCCCAAATCATAAACCGTCTCCATATCAGTAGTCTTCAACGTCAATTTCCCCGTTTTCGACGCTGCTCCAGCCACCGCCGGCCTGTCAATCTGTACTTCCACAACTTCACCTTCAATAACTTCAGCTTCTTCTTTAATTCTCACACCAATCGCTTTACGAAAAGCCTGCATTAACGCTTCAGTTTTCGACATATCAAGTGAATAAAGTTCGCTACCAGCAAGCATAGCAAAAGGGGTTTCTTGCCCTAACGATTTAGCCATACCCATAGCTATAGCTGTCTTCCCAGTTCCGGGTTGACCCGCAAGGAGCAGTGCACGACCCGCAATTTTACCTTGTTGAACCATTTTAACCATGATTCCGGCAGCTTTTCGAGCTGGAATTTGACCTACCATACCTTCAGAGCTTAATCGAGGTTCGAGTGAAGAATCGAGGCCGAGACCTCTGATATGAGAGTGTGCCCCTATGCGTTCTATACGGGTTAGATCACGCATCTCTGAGATTTTCAACTCCCCCATTGCCATTGCTGAGCCGAGAGAGGTACAGAAGAGGGGAAGACAGACAGAGGAGCAAAAAATTAGGGTTTAGGGTTTATGGAGGATCGATCACCTAAAACAATTATAACATGGAAAATCATGCGAGTAGGGTATTCGGGTCGGTTTCGATGGGTTATCCGTCAAAATTAAAATCGAACCAAATGAAATATAGTACTCTCTCCGTCTCATTTGATGTGACACTTTTCAAATTTCGAGATTCAAACAAGTCTAACTTTGCCCGTAAATTTTTCATAGATTTTTTAAATATTTTGAATTATCAATTGTTGTGACTTATAGTACTTTTTACGTCGTTTACAAGTATATAAATTTAATTTCAAAAAATTGAAGATTCATGTGCAAATTCTTGATCAAACTTAAATTGTTTGACTCTCGAAAAATAAAAAGTGTCACATAAATTGGGACAGAGAAAGTCCTTACTTTATAATTTCATAAATGGTAATAGTAAAAATTATGGTTTAAATTATGTTCTAAAATGGTTTTATTGATATGCGTGCATTATCACCCAAATTCAATTAATGTGAAATTGAGAGAGTATATGTTTATCAATTTTATTGTTATCAATTTTGATTTGATTTGGTTCATTCAGTAATTAATCATACATAATAATAAGATAAACGATTCATTCAAAAGAGAGAGAAAAAGACTACTATTAATTCAAAGGATATGAATTGTCTTCGTGTCATTTTGGATTTTATAATTTTTATATATGAACTGTAATTACGTTTAACTTTGTGATTATATTGTTAGCTAAGTCAATGTACTTGAACAATATAGATTATCGGATAATGCATAAGCTATCGATATTGCTATAAAAAAAAGTATATGCATCATATCTTACTTTTTTTCATTTGATTGCTGCATTTTTCTGCATAAAAAGTTGTGTTTAACTTTGTGATTATATTGTTAGCTAAGTCAATGTACTTGAACAATATAGATTTATCGGATAATGCATAAGCTATCGATATTGCTATAAATATATATATATATATATATATATATATATATCTTACTTTTTTTCATTTGATTGCTGCATTTTTCTGCATAAAAAGTTGTCTATAATTGTCGAATTTTAAAAATGTAAAATCAAACCAAATAAAAATCATAGTTTTTATAGTTTGAATTAGTTTTTACCTAAATCGTGAACGCTCCTAATTATCATTATTACCGTGATTAACAATGTCCACTATCACTATCAATCACTACAGTTAGTCACTACCACACGTACCATCTCTATCATTATAATTATATCTATAAAAACTAAACTCAAATGACAAGAAATTGCATGAATAAATAGTTCGACTAATAATACAAAATGATAAGCGAGACTACACTTAATTATCTGACTAACATTCTCTCTAATTCGTGCCCTCCAAAACCTCCTATCTAAGGTTTGGGGTAAGCTGGATTTTCATCTTGTTCTGTCTAATCACCTCTTCTAATACTTTTTCGATATATCTCTATCTCTCCTAAAATCATGCATACTCAACCTCTCACAATTCCGTATGGGGACAATACAAATAAATAAATTTGTTAGTATTACAATAATGAGCAACTTTCACATATATCAAACACAAAATTCATATTTGTATGTTATAACAAAGTTTGCATAATTGCGCTCCATAACAAACATATATATGTATAATTCGCTATACATATACAAAAAAAAAAACAGTTGTATAATTCGCTATACATATACAAAGAAAACAGTTGTATAATTCGCTATACATAAACAAAAGAAAGCAGTTGTATACAAAAGATCAATTGTATAATCTGTGTATGTATAAAACGGGAAAGAGAGAAAGGCAAAAGAAAACTGGGAAGGGAAATATTTATATTGTATAATTATAAGTGTATAGGACGAAGATATATGTATTTGCATGTGTATATACAATTTTCTCTCGCTTTATACAAACAAAAGCGCAATTTATACATTTCGTTTCTGTTTGTATAAGCGAGAGAGGCGAGCGAGATTTGGGAGAGTGGCGAGCGAGATCTGGAAGAGGGAGAGAGGAGAACGAAAATATATGTATATATACAATTTCCTCTCGCTTTATACAAACACAAACGCATTTTATACATTTGTGTTTGTATAAAAGCAAGAGAGGCGAGCGAGACTGCCACCAAACGAGAGTGGTGAGCGAGATTTCACCAGGGAGAGTGGCGAAAATAGCAATAGTTTGTTGTAGGATACAATTAAATTAAAGTATATTTATAGGATTTAATTTGAATTAATAGTTTGTTATTATATATAATTTTCCCTACAATAAAACATATGATTTTATGCTTTGCTACTATATTTAATATTTTTAAATGCATATCAAATATCATAAATATTCAAATTGTATTCTAAAAGAAAAATTGATTTCAATATTAATTAAAAATATTGAATATCAAAATATTTTAAAATATATAACAAATACTATTATGTTGGAACCAGAATATCAAAAATTTCGATTTCAATTTTGATATCAAATTCAATACCTAACTTACCAGCTCATGTTGGGCTTCAAAAGTTAAGGCCCAATATCCAGTTCCATCTCTAAGCCCAAGCTCATGTGGCTCAATATCCTGCCCCATCTTAATTTTCGTTATACTCTTTCAAGTGTTGACAAGTTCATTATTATGAATCTTAAAGGTTGCATTCGTCAAGTTTAAGTTTTAAATTTGCCTCTATCAAAATATCATGAGATTACATAAGGTTTTTTAAAATTTTGTATCAGGTATTCACATTAGGGTAACCATGTAAGATCAATTTAAGAGAAAAGAGCTTCACGACTAATCCTGAATTGTGTCGTGTAAGGCCAATTTAAAGGGGAAATGCTCCCTTATAACAATATTGTTTTTTATATCAAAATCTCGAATCTGAGATATCTGATTAAGAAAGAAGAATGCTTGATGAAGTCAAGTAATTGGACATGACTTTATTTATGAATCAATTTCAACAAGTTTGATGGCTATTGTACTTGACTTTAACATCAATTTGTGAAGATAATAATAAAGTAACACATCAAGGTGAGTAGTATACATAAAGCGACGGATTAATGACAAAATTCATAATTAATTTTAATTATTTTGTAGCGATTGTAGATATTAATATTTGATTGTGATATCACATGAAAGAGTTTGAGTATCCAACTCAAATTTTTAAGACAACGATTGACTCAAGAGTCGAGATGATATAAACTCCTCAACTACTAATAAACAAGTGATAAAAACAACATAGAGAATTAAATAACATAAACAAGATCATCCTTTAATTTTTAATTTGTCAATCAAACAACATTAATTATACCGCATGCTCATGCATTTTTTTTTTTTTGTAAAATGATCTAATCTTCTTCAAATCTCAGTTTCCTTAGTTCTTTTTTTTTGTTCTGCTATTTAATTAATTTAATGATGCCGTTAACAAGAAGCAATACTGAAAAAGTTCTAGTTATATTAATTTGTAACAAGAAATGCGACTATACGAGTAGTAAATCGAGAAGATACTGTCAATATATTGCATCTTAAAATTGAAAATTAATTATTATTTGTAAAGGTACTTCGATTGAGAATTATAGATTCCACCTACGTACACCAAATTAACAAATTATACTCTTGTTACTAGTTAATTGCGGAGATAAATCTAAAAGCATAAGACATAAAGTACCTTCCTAGACTGTGATCGAAATTTCAAAGACACACTTTAAACAAATTAAGGTCCTATTACACTTGAACTAATTTTTTTTGTAATTTTGTAAACCTTTTTAGCTTATGGCATCCAAACATCTCCAACGTGCCTCAACTACGTGGAATCACAGAGTGTGCCATATAAGTCAAAAGATGTACAAAATTATATATAAAAAAAAGAATTCGGGGGTAATAGGACCATACTTTAGTCTTAGTCTAGGAGATACTTGTGCCTTGTCCCAAATCTAAAATTTAAAATTTATATTTTGGGTGGGTTTTCGCTTGTCACCAAACTCATAATCTATTTAGTTTAGAGCAAGTTTCAACTATTTATGCAGTAAAATAATTAGTTTATAACAAATATAATTGTGTTTTATTTCCATAAAAAAAATAGTTAAAAGTCACAAGAAGTATACACTGATTATACAATATAACTTGCGAAAAGTCATAGAAATTATACCTTAACTTTGTAATATAGCTTACTTATACATGAGTTAACACTAACTATACATTATAATACACTAAAAAATCGAATATAGCTTAATTATATATGAAGTATATATACATGACTATTCAATATCGATCAATTCAAAATCACTTTTAATAATCTCAAATTTTAAATATGAAATTCTCTCAATATTTTCTTTTGATATACATTTACGGTATGTAAAATCTTTAAATTTAGTAAAAACATTAAAACTTTAATAGTTAGATTGATCATGAAAGAAGAAGGAAGGAAGACCGAAAGCAACGAAGATAAGAAGATAAGTTTTAGTGAAATATGAGTTCAAGAAGGTGTTGTACTGAGCGCTCACATGGGCAGAACAGCTATGCATGTTTTTTTTTAATTAGTAATTTTATAATTAGTTATTTTATATATATATAATTATTTTCATTTTTTTTTGTAAAATATTTATTATAATTTCTTCCTCACTTTAAATTTTTCAATTTTTTTCTTTCATCATTTTAAATAATTTTAAAAAAATTATGTGTAGTTTTTTAAAAAGTAATTAGAAAATGTCCTTTAATTTTAACAAATAATGGCATGGATGAGCCTTTTTTCAAAAGAAAATGACATAAATGAATCAAACTTTTAAGTTCAATGACATATTTAAGCTTTTGCCGCATGCATGTTATGGAGGGGTGATATTATTTTTTGAGACAACATAATGTTCTTTTTTTATAAGAAATATTTATTTTTACAAATAAGAGATTTAAAAAGAAATCTCTTAAAAGGAACCCCATTTTTACATTAGGCATCTTTCTTGGAAGTGCCTAATGTTCAATACTACTGCTAGACCAAAGGTTGTGTTTATTTTATGGTTGCAGTTGTAAGCTAAGCTTCTCACTAAATGGGTTCTGAAGAATGCAAAGAGGAAGATTCTACGGGCTCAGATTTTCAGAATGGTATATGCTGAATTAGTCTATGCATTATGGATTGAAATTAAAGGAATCAAAGAGTGTTCGAGCAGAAGACAAATGGAGTAAATAGGATTACTAGAATTATTGCTTTTATTTGTAATGTTAGAGCTTCCTCTAAGACTAGGCTTTTAGTTCAGTTTTGGTTGGTCTAAGAGTGGAGGCGAGGTTTTATGTGTATAGCGTGTAGAGGAGAGTGGGAGTAGTGTCTATTCAGTATTCAAGATCTAGCTAACTATGGATGCTGGCTGCTATGTATTGCTTTACGAGTTATTAATGGAAACAAGTTAGTTACCTAAAAAAAAAATCATTTGTAAAGGATTGTTTGGTAGCTAATTACAAATGGGTGAATGTCTATATTATTTTATACAAGTATTAGTTATGTAGGAATCGATTATTCACGTATTTGTTATTTCATCTTATATAATGTATAATATAATACATAGATTCATTCATAACTTATACATGTATTAATTATGCGAATTTCTAAGTTATCAATCAAACATAATATTAATTTTCTATTATATATGCCTACCAAACGTCGTATAAGTTATATAAATAGGAATGACTTTTTTTATTCAGCTAGCAAATGATCCCGTGATCTGAATTGATGGATCTAACTTTTGAAAAGAAACGTGAAAAGTAACTTTTCGTATGAATAAATAATTTGTAGTGCTTATTTGGCCAAATACATTATAAGTGATCTAACATTAATATAATAAATTATTTTTTCCTTTTTCTAGTGGTATGATTTAACTTTTGCTTTAATAATAACATTTTTGGGCATTGTCCAATTTTTAAATAAAAAGTAACTTTTTATTCCAGACTCCAGTATGGTGCACAAGCTTTTCTTTTCTTAATTAATTCAAGATATTTACAGTAACTTTTCAGAATAGTTGTAGTACTAACAAATATAAAATTTATGCACTATAAAAATAAAAAGATTTTTTTGGGATGAGTTTCAGAGTGGGGTATATCAAAAATGTTTTGAAATGTAATTGAAAGGTGTAGATTCATAGGACATAAAGTTTTCAAACTTAGCAATAATTAGTGATGAATAACAAAAAAAAATCGTATTAGCTATGGAACAACCATGCATACAACCATCGATATCGAAAGGACTTTTATTTTGTTTATTTATTAAATGTTGTATACTAGAATAATTCAAGAAAAGGACATATGAACTACAAGGAGGTCCTTCAAGATTTAGATGCAATTGAAAGGTATAGATTCAAAAAAAAATCTTATGAATTAGCTATGGACCAATTACCATGCAAATCTTATCAATTAGCTATGGACCAACCATGCATACTGCCATTTAGAACTACAACGACATCGAAATGACTTGTCGAGGCCTAGGGGTCCTTCACAGTTCACTTTTTGAAGGAGACAATGTGTCTCCACTCCCCGAGTATGGTTTTTTTAAGTGAAACAAAGAATCGAGAAACAATGCTAGTGAGAATTCAAAGACAACTAAATATGGTGGAACTAGTAGGAGGACTATGCTTATTTTGGAATGACGTTATTCAGGTATGTCAATATCACTCAACCTCATTTTATATTGAAACATACATTCATGATCTGGTAGATGACTATAAATATTGATATATCTTTGTTTACTTAAGTACTGATATAGCTATTCGTAGAACTCAGTTGCAAGAACTTTTGTATAAATCAAATATGTGGGGTTCACTATGGGTAATGGCAGGAGATTTTAATAATATTATAGATAATTCTGAAAAATCGGGAGGAAGAATAAGAGAGATCTCCTCTTTTTGGGATTTTAAAAACTTTTTGTGGGATATAGGAGCTATAGATTAATTAGGGTTCAATGAAAAATCGTGGACTTGGTGGTGCTTTAGAGAAAATGATGGCATAATACAAGAGAGATTAGATAGAATCATAAGCTTGCCGAGTTGGAGATTAGAGTTCAGCCTCGCAAATATAATTAACATAGAAACAGAGGCTTCTGACCATAGTGCTTTGTTAATGAACACAGAGCCTACTTTTAGGGGGAAAAAAGGAGGTTCTATTTTGATAAGCGTTGGAGTGAAAAGGAAGAGGTGAACATGACTATAACTCGATCATGGAATAGCACTGTTGGAGGGTCTAAACAATCCAAAATAACCTTTAAACTAAAGAATTGTCGTATTTCTTGGCTTCGAAGGGGTAAGGAAAATTCTAAGAAAAAAATTCAAGGGATTACAAATCAAATTGATGATCTGAAAAACGATCCTAGGAATTTTGATCTTAATAAATTATGGTTGCTTCGTAAGGAATTAGGACAGGCGTATAAGGATGAAGAAGCCTACTGGAAACAAAAATCTAGAGCTTTGTGGCTTCAATAAGGCGATAAAAACACTTTTTTTTTCATATGAAAACGATTCAGAGGCGTAAGTGTAACAATATTAAGGGGCTTACTTTAGATAATGGACATTGGATTTCTGATCATAGTGATATTGTAATAGAAGTAGAAAGATTTTATAAAAATTTATTCACTACTTCTCGACCTGCAAACTTTGATCACGTTCTTCATCTAGTTCCTACCTTAGTAGATAATTCTATTAATGATATGCTTACTAGAGAGAAGTAACAAATGAGGAAATTAAACAAGTTGTTTTTTATATGCATCCGTTAAAAGCTCCAGGAGTAGACGGTATGACACCCTTTTTCTTTCAAAAGTATTGAAATATTGTCTCTGTTGATGTTTGTGAAGCTGTAAAAAGTTTTTTTAATTTAGGTTATTTGCAACCTTCTTGGAACCAGACTCTTATAACTTTGATCCCTAAAGTGAAAAATCCTAGTGATGTTCGTCAATTTCGACCCATAAGTTTATGCTCTACAATGTACAAAATTATTGCTAAAATTATTGTCAAGAGACTTAAAGGTTACCTGCCCAATATTATTTCTCCAAATCAATCTGCTTTTATTGGAAAACGATAAAAAGTTGATAATGTTGTTCTACCTCATGAGTTCATTCATCTTCTTAAAAATAAAAGACATAGAAAACAAAAATATATGGCCCTTAAGCTAGATATGGCTAAAGCTTATGATCGAGTTGAGTGGGTTTATATTCAAAAACTACTTTTTAAAATGGGTTTTCATGAGACTTTTATTAACTGGATTATGCAATGCATCACTACCCCAACGTATAAATTTAATACTAATGGGGACATAGCGGGAGAACTAAAACCTACTAGAGGCTTAAGACAAGGAGATCCACTTTCTCCATATCTTTTCCTGTTATGTGCGGAAGGTCTTTCCAGACTTTTAAATCAAACGGAATTATGTGGGGATATACAAGGATTAAGCTTAAGTAGAGAGGGGCCTACGATTAATTATTTATTTTCTGCTGATGACTCCTTTGTCTTTTGTAATGCTAGTATTAGCACTTTATTCGAAAATGTATTTTGAATGTATTACCGGTCAACCACATGATTTCTAGGAGAATGAGGCATATGTGTGGAGTGTGTAAGGGTTGTGGACTTGAGAATGAAACGATTGATCACATGTTGTTTAGGTGTCCTAGTGCCCAATTAGTTTGGAAAATTTGCCCCATTAATTGGCCTAGTTTAGAAAATACTGTGGATTTTGCTGGATGGTGGAATGATCTTTTTACTAATGCTAAAAAATATCCCGAGTCTATTGAGCTTATAAAATTAAGTATTTCTATTATGTGGCAAATTTGGAAGGCTAGAAATTCAAAGAGTTTCAATGGAGAAATTTATGATCCTAATGATATTGTTAACAAAGCTCTTTTTGATTTTCATGAATATGAAAGCAATTTGATTCCTTCATTTTCCCCTATAATTATACCTGCTTGTAATGATGATAGAAATATAACTATGGCACAAGATGGTATTGTTGTGTTTGCAGATGCTAGTGTACATAAGGAAAAGAAGACGACAAGCATTGGTGTGGTGGCTTTGGATAGCTATGGTAACCTGCTTCATGCCTTTGGTTCCCCAATTCAATATGTTGGGAAAGCCATCACTGCTGAAGCAATTGCAACTCGTATGGTGCTGGAGAATGTTAGAGAAAAGGGGTGGACAAAGGTGCAAATCTTATCAGATGCAAAAAAATGTGGTGGATATGGTACTACAAAGAACTATAGTCTCGTGGGAGATAGAAACTACTTGTGAAGACATTTGTAACCTTATGAAGTGCTTTGAGGTGGTCAATGTGAGCCATATTCCAAGGTCTTGGAATTTAGTGGCACATAATTTAGCAAAATTTTCTATTTCATTAGTACGCAAAGTTGTTTGGCTTTCTAATTTCCCTAGATGGATTGTAAGTGATGCTATCACATCTTTGAACCTTTTTATGCATTAATATAACTAGCATGTTGGTTGTCAAAAAAAAAAAACTCGGTATGTTTTGAAATTACATAGGATCATTGACGGGGTAGACCCATATTTAGTTTTGAACACTTTAATTTATATTATATATATATATATATATATATATAGAGAGAGAGAGAGAGAGAGAATGGTCAAATGCCTCCCTAACTTATAGTCGAATTCTTAACTACACACTTATATTTTACGGGTGTCCTATTACCCCCTTGAGCTATTTTAAAGCGGAATAAATGCACCCTTAAGTGCTGACATGGTGCAGAGTGTGTGTTCACTCTCTTAAAGGCATGTGAGAGATAAAGAACTGATCAAAAAAAAAAATCAAAAATATTTTAACTTTTTGTTAAATACATTTTCCAACTTTTGCCTTTAATTTTATTTTCTTTACTTTTTTCATTTCTTTTTCCTTTATCATTTTTCCTCCTCTCTCTCTCTCATCACTCAACACCCTCCCTACCTATACATCTCCATCACCATTGTTGAACCACTATGGCAACCCCATCTCCTCACCCATCTTCTAATACATTTTCAGAATTTGTCTCACAATTACTCACAACCATTAACCATCAAAATCACCAAATAATCATTAAAACTATTATTTATGTAGTAAAAAAAAAATTAAAACCATTAATTTTCTTGCTCAGACAAAATTTATCAAGCTTCAAATCTTACTTTTTGTCTTTATTAACGTTCGATGAAGAATCTAAACTACACACAGTAAGAATTTCACAAAGTTGAGCAGCAACAATCAATTGATTCTACTCAATCCCGATAATTCAGTGATTTCTTCTAGTGTAGAAAGCCTAAATCCTCCACTATTTAAAAAGAAATAAAAGGGTGTATTCATCCTCAATCATAAGACGAGTAGCGAGAATTTCAAGCTTAAGATTGGTATTACAATTGTGGAATTTGAGTGGGAGAGGTGAAAATGGAGGTTTAAATAGTTAATAAAGTAGTTGTTGTGGTGTTGCTGATGAATATTGATACTTAATTTGTGGGTTATAGAAGGATGGAGTGGGGGTGGGGAGTGATTAGAGAGGAATGGGAATGTGGTTGTGTAGTTTTAGGGTGGTTTATAATCCGCTTTAAAATAGTTTAAGGGGGTAATAGGACCTCCGTAAAATATAAGTGTGTAGTTGAGAATTCGACTATAGGTTAGGGGGTCATTTGGCCATTTTTTCTCTCTCTCTCTCTCTCTCTCTATATATATATATATATATATATATATATATATATATATTTGTAAGAACAAAAATTATGATATTAATAATACAAGATACTATTTCCATTCTAATATACTCTTAGGCAATATTATTTTTATTCGTTTAATATAATGAATCAAACAGTCGAAAAATAATAATATCATGACATTATCATTATATCTTATTCAGTATTATTCTTATATACCTTATCAAGCAATTCCATAATGTATATAAGAATATATAGTGTTTGTGTCTTCATTTACTATTTGTTGTATGTGACACAAATACTATGGAATCTTTTGATAAAATGTATTAAAAAAGTATTGAATAAGGCGTATTAATAATATCGCGATGTTATTTTTTTATTTGTTGTTTGATTATATATAAAAAAGTTGCCTTTGATTTTCTTTATTGACTTTTCTCCTTTTATTTTGGATTGGTCAATAGTGAATTCTATGATTCATATTTCATCATAATTCATGGTATTCATGAGACAAGTTAATATTATTGGACCCATGCACAACTGACTTAAGAGTTGTTCATTATTTATTTCATTGAGAGTTTCTTTTCTTCTATAAAAGGACTCTCTAGTCATTATTATTCTCATTTATTTTCCAGGTTTATTCCTTCACCTCCTTCTTCTTCTTCTTCTTCTTTTTTTTTTTTTTTTGTGTTGGTTGATAGTGAATTCTATAATTAAAAATTAAAAATTTAGGAGAATTTTGTTGCATTGGATCTATTTTCTTGATTTTGTTTGAATTTCTTAGATGGATACAAGATTTTGAGTCTTTACATTCTGGATTTTAGGATAGCATATTTAAGATTTGAAAATTTAGGAGAATTTTGTTGCATTGGACCTATTTTCTCGATTTTGTTTGAATTTCTTCGATGCATTCAAAATTTTAAGTCTTTACGTTCTGAATTTTAGAATAGCATAGTTAAGATTTGAAATGTATTATGAGTTCCTACAATACTAGTATCAAGCTAATATCATATTAATGATATTTGAACTTTTAGTCAAACATATTTTTCATATATATATATATATATATATATATATATATATATATATATATATATATTTGAGAAAAAACGATAGATTTCACGTGAGGTAGTGATTATGATTTCTAATTTTTTTTTCTTATTTGCTTACCTAAACATATGTATCATAAATAAATTAAAGAATGTTTTCTTGGGATTTTAATTAAATTCATTTATTTTGTTCGAAGTTGATTTATTTCACTAATTGTGTTATACTTTTACTAAAAAACTTATTTCAACTTTTAACTAATTATATTATATTTTTTAGGGAAAAAGATCTTAAATATATTCGAACTTTGACCGAAATTGCTATAACGATATCAAACTTTGGAAATGACCTTTTACCCCCGCACTATTTAATAGTGTATTTTAAAAGTATATATGTGTCCACGTGGACATCCAATTTTTTGCATAATTATAAATAGTAATGTGTCCACGTGGGCACATATATACCTTTAAAATACATTATTAAATAGTGTAGGGGGGTAAAAGGTCCTCCATAAAGTTTGGTATCGTAACAACAATTTCGGCCAAAATTGGAGTATTTTTCAAACCTTTTTCCCTAATTTTTATTGAAATTATACTTTCTAACTTTAATTTTCAACTACACAAAAATAATAAAGTATTTGATGTTACTTTACACCTTATATGGAGTACTTTGTTAGTGGAGAGACGCATATTATATTATAATTGATCTATTTTCAATTAGTCATAAGCACATATGCTCCACTTAATTAAAAATAAATAAAAAATAGCATAAGTGCATAAGTGCTACATTATTTTTGTCCCTTTCAATAAAATTACACTTAATTATTCTGAATTTATTTATTCTAAATTCTAAATTCACACTTATTCTTTTGTATAGCCTTAGTTTAGGGTTTTGTCCATTCTATTAATTTTCTTTTTCTTGGTTTTAATGATTTTTTTTGATTTTTTTTCAGGATATCGCATTTTATCTTTCGATAACGATAATTATATTGTTAGAATTTTCTAACAAATTAAGAAGAAAAGAAGAAGAAAGATGGGGTTTTGGACATTATTTGAGGTGGCATCTATGCCAATATTACAAATGCTTCTTATAAGTGTTTTAGGTGCTTTAATGGCAACTAATTATTTCAATATTCTTCACTCTGATACTCGAAAGTCCCTTAACAAAGTAAGATAATTTTTTTCATTATTTTTCCAAGTATAATATATAAATATGTTAATATTACTTGTAAAATAGTTCATGCACCAAGAAACTATATAATTAGTTATGAAATTTATTAGTAACTAATTAATCTGTCGCTAAAAAGTTTTTAGCTAATTAATTTTTTTAATAATCTCTGTATATGTAGATTGTGTTCGTGGTATTTACACCCTGCATAACGTTTGCAAGTTTGACTAAGACTGTCACCTTGGACGACATCATCTCATGGTACTATCAAATACTTCTAATCGTGTTTCAATTTATATAACATAGTTGATTTTAAAAAAATAAAGGAAAAAGGTCGTCTGAAATATATACGAATTTTGATCGAAATTGTTGTAACAATATTGAATTTTGGAAAGGACCTCTTACCCCACTGTACTATTTAATAGTGTATTTTAAAGGTATATATGTTCCCACGCGGACATCATAAATATTGCTTTATTATAAATAATAATGTGTCCACATGGGTACATATATACCTTTAAAATACACTATTAAATAGTGCAGGGGGTAAAAGGTCATCCATAAAGTTTGATATCGTAACAACAATTTCGACCAAAGTTGAAGTATTTTTCAGACCCTTTTCCCAAAAAATAATGATATTTTTTTTTATTTATGTTTTAACTCGTTAACTTAAATATCATGCATGTTATATTTATGATCACGAGATTTAAAAATATTCTGATATATTATATATATTTTCATTTAAAATTATAGGATTCAAAAATCATCTTCTTTTTTTTAAAACTGAGTTTGATCAAACTTTGACACATAATATTGAAACGGAGGAAATATCAACACTCAGAGCTTGTTTGGTATGAGGGATAAGTGATAATTATTTTGAAATTAATTTTTGAATGATTTTATCATATATTTGATTGTGATAAAATTGCGAGATTAGTTATCTCAGGATCGTAGTGTTATTTTTATCCCAAATTAAATGTAAGATAATAATTTTGAAATAACTAATCTCGAAATAACTTGTTCCCCAACCAAACAAGCACTCACTATATTATTATGCGTTTATATATGAGAAATGTCGGTAGAAAATATTAAAAAAAATTAGTGTTAGAGTAATATTTGTTCTCAATAATATTGGATTGAGATGTATTTAAATGAAACGTCATAAGTAGCATAAATTTATATAAATAAGTCCAAATTTATACAATATAAACAGTGAAAATTTATATAGTTGACCTGAGCTGAATCTAAACTTGTTGATTATGATGTATCAGGTGGTTTATGCCCATTAATATAGGGCTAACTTTTTTAGTTGGAGGAATTCTTGGATGGCTAGTTGTAAAAATACTTAAGCCAGAGGTACATTTAGAGGGACTTATTATTGCTACATG